ACATAGAATATATGTAAATAAAAAAAGTATCAAATTTTACATGAAGTTCATCTGATAATGTGTGTCCTTAGTTTTGTTGTAGAAAACGTATTTATGCATGTGTATATATTTCCGCGTCTGGCCGAAGTTACCTGTATAGGTACAGGGTAAGTGAAACAACATATTCTTACCTTTAATATACTGTGCACACTGTAGGGGCTGGGGGAATGGGATAGTATCTTCCAGGATGATGCTTGTTAATCAAATCGCCGACGTCATGATACACATTTCTTTCAAAGATGATGATGATGATGATGATTTGTAGATTTGATTTAAACAGTATTTTATTTCCACAAAGACATGTAATATACATTAAACATTAATAAATTACAAAAGGAAAAAGGATCAGCAAACAGGCTGCATCAGCCTATGTAAATGCTTCTCCTAAAATTTGTAGATTTAACATGAGCTTACTGACATAATGCGACACAAAGTGCCGATTTCTGAATGCATACATTAGGTACAACTTACTTATGTGCATCATCATTGTCAACTAATCATTTTTCGCGGGCATAGGGTGGTTATCAGGCCCTGGACCGTGTTTGCAGAGGGAATCAAACATCCTCAATTTGCAATAAGCAAACCCGTGATCAGTGAGCCGTTTGAGCGGCTCTCCAGAACCCATAAAACAATTAGCGTCTAATTAGTTTGTTTTCTTCATAACTTCTCTGTGTCATTTTACAAACTGATGTATCAACAACAGAAAAGTGTTATAGACGCATCCCATATCACATCGTATATTCACGGTTCTAAAAAAATATCCATTTTTGAAACTTTGCTTTTAAGGGGTTTTAGCAACGTTCTCATTTGGTTGAAACAGTTTGCATAATATTCCATAAATGCTTCTGAAAATGTTATGTTTATCTGTTTGCGATATATCACAAACAAATAATAGTAATTAAAATACACCTGCCGTGTATATGCCGTATATATGTGAACCGTCAATACGATCGATATCGGTTCCAATGACACGGGCCAGGTTTACAAGTCTGTTTTCTATAATCGTCTTGAAAATGAAATAATGCACGCTGATACCAGTGAAGATATTCACAAAGATATGTATCATAGCCTTAATTCACACATAAAAAAACCCTTTTGGGATGTGATTACAAAATCCATGTGCATGCCGATGAAACTGGGCGCTTCCGATAACACCTCACATGAGGGCTTCAGGCTCCATTTGATTGGCTGAAACAGTGTCGCGCGCGTTTGCAGGGTATTCTGTAAAACAGCATACACGGCTAATGCGAGCACAAGCTGAAATGTATTCTCAGAGATCCAATATCGACACGTCAACAGCGTGAGCTGTCGTCAAAAGTCAAAGAAACGGCGCTGCATTTTGATTTAACACTAACTTTGATTAGCACGAGATGTCAACTAAGACTGATAGTGACTTCTTTTCAGATTCAGTTTCGAATACACCATTGAGTCTCTTTACACGCTGTAACAAGCAAAGACAGTTTTACGTTAGTATTGAATTGATAGGTTACTTTTACGCATTACAAATGCGTGAAAATTAGTGAGGTGAACAGGTAAGATTTCGTGCTGTGTAATCAAGACACTATGTACAGTTCGGTATTGCCGATTACATGCATCATGGGGACCTCCATTAACGCGATAGGTAATGTTATCGATCGGGATTATGAACGCTTTTATTGACATTTGGCATTTTTATATATATTTTGGGTTGACTGATGTTTTATCTTCAATTCTGTCGCAAATAGTCGCAACTCGTTCAACACGATCACAATATACAAACCATTGTCAAACGTTTACTTAGGACAATCTAAACTAGTTTAAATATTGAAAACTATTTCGGAATTTAGGAATTGAGATCAGTAATATCATTTTAACCAAAACATCTGAGACTTCTATTCATTTGGATACACGATAACATAATTTTTTCCGCTTTTTAAAAAGCGAGCCGTGTGCATTTGCAGGTGAAGGTGCACAATACGTCACATCCGGAAAATATGCAAATGACTTTATAGTTGTTTGCAAGATTTCTACTCTTGACGAAGTAAGTTTTGATTCATGCAAGATGCAATGGCGGTAGAGGTCATATTAGTTTCAAAATGTTCCATAACTCACTGCAAAGATGAATACTTTAACATTTCTAAAACTAGCCATGGCATCCATTAAAATGAATCACTTTTTCAAATGCGATTAATTATTTTTACGTAATTTGCATATGTAAACAACCGACCCTGGGCGTGGTGTTTCTTCCCGAGAAACCTGTTTATTCACGACTGTCAAGTAACCACCACGCTTGGTGATTTTACGGGACGCTTTAATCACCCCGCGCCGTGTTTGCACCCAATCGAGTTGGTTCCACGGTGATTGAATTAATTAGGGTCAAAGCGCTTCCAGTTAGTACCGCTGGGCGCTAATACCGCTCAGCGCATTACTCGCGAGACGATAGGCAGCGTCTCATTCGCTGCATTACCGTCTCTGACTGGTAATGGTTATGACAACCAACAAGGACCTTCTATTTTGATCCTTAACTCTGAACGGGGGCGGTGTGGTAGCCTAGTGGTTAAAGCGTTCGCTCGTCACGCCGAAGACCCGGGTTCGATTCCCCACATGGGCACAATGTGTTAAGCCCATTTCTGGTGTCCCCCGCCGTGATATTGCTGTAATATTGCTAAAAGCGGCGTAAAACTAAACTCAGTCAGTTAACTCTGAACTCTACTTTGATGAACTCTGTTAGTAAGATTGGATAATGTATTTACACCGGTTTACAAACAAGTTTTAAACAAACCTATGACATCGACTTGGTCTTAACTCCTGGAATCATTGTTGCTGAATGAATTGTGTTCTTCTAATACACCTGTAGACTAACAACAAGTCTCTGAAATGAACATATTTTACTGAAAAAAGTTCATAGTAAAAAAAATATATCTAATGAAAAGGAGCCCTGAGACTTTCTTCATTTTCAGATGAAGCTGAGGAAATCTAGACTTGCCACATTTTCTAGACTTGTGTGGGCTTTCTTGGATATATTTGCTTCAGGGTCTGTACGAGAGACTTATACACCTGTTGAGTATTTATCTGGTTGTCAAGTCATTCATGAGGATCTTATCAGTAATTAGCTGGAGAAAAATGCCAGCACTTTTTTTATTGGACATTCATTTATGTTATGAAGAGAATTGACAATGAACATCTGCGGTTATCACTGATGTTTCAGTGATCCATTCTTACAATTTTCTCTGCTGTCTGGTCTTTAATACCCAGTGGAACGTGTTTAAGTGGATAATCGCCACAGGTCAAACTAATTAGCATTTTGTGTTTGTATGAAACCATGGTAACATAGTTTAATGTGTATATGAATCTTATGATTTCTTTTCCTTTAGGGTTCTGTCACTTTTAAGGTATTTAACCCAGGTGATATTTCTTACAAACTTATTTAGAGATAATAGTATAATCTGGTATCACTTAACCAAAATAGATTCTCTTTATCACTTGAATCGCATTTATGCTCTGAACCCTGGTCTCCAGCTATTACCACAGAGGAACACAGGGACAGTGTGTGAGGGAATCAGGCCAGCATGGATTCCAGGGAGCACTTGGCCAGCTGTTGCATGGCCTCAATGCATGTGCATGTGCATTAGTCATGATGACTGGCATACTCTGCCTGCATGCAGTCTGTAATTGACACATGGGGTGATGCAGGAGAAGGTGGCTGCGATCATTTGATGCAGTGGCATACATTACTGTGATTGAATCTGAGACAGACTGGGAACATGCACACCATGTTGAATGGGGAATGTGACTTTGTGATGAAGCAGGGGGATTTGTGGGGCTGGCAGTGAGGAGATGATGACAATAAGACATCAGGTTTCACGCCTGTGTGGGGAACAACTAATTGTGTGATGAATCTGATACACCATGTGTTTGTTGTGTGGAGTGTTAAGGGAGGGATCAATATGGGTGGCTGTTGCTGATAGTTAGATAAATATTGTTGAAAATGGGATATTGATTGGAGCAAATTAAACAGTGTCAAACGAGCTGGATTTGTATCCCGCAGAAGAAATTTGATGTTGCTGGAATTTCAATTCGATTTCAGGCACGTGGTTCTCATTTATCATTTGTATGTTTAATACAGTTTGAAAGTAGGCATGGAGATAACATTGACTGTGGAGTTATCAGTGGTTACTGATGGATGAAGTTAATTGCATGTGACATGGATGTGTGGAACTGTGACACTCAGTAGCAACGAATATGGAAGCTGTTCCAGGAGATGGTTGACTGTGTGAGAAACACTGTCAAGAGCTGTTAGAGGTTAGGTAGAGTGGCTCAACAAGAGATTTGTTCAAATAGAAATCTAATTACATATTTTTTTCCAACAAGATCAATTCTTCTTGCTTGATTTAACACAAGTCCTGTTGATACAGCGTGTTGAGAGTAGTTGTCAGCTCATGGATGAATATCGAACTAGTTTTTATCAGGGGCATGGATAATGTTGGAAGAGCGTTCTATGCCCATACTCACACTGCAGCATTAATTATGCATAAAATTCATCACTGACTCACCATAGAAAATATTTTGTATGCAAATAACAGAAAGCACTGTACAAGCAATACAAGTTCAAATAACTTTGCAAGCATATTTAACCATATTATTCTATAACCAGTTTGTTTAGTTAAGTCATGTTATGGCGCATGTCACGCCGAAGACCTTGGTTCGATTCCCAGCGTTAGAATGTGTGAAGCTCATTTATAGTGTCACCTGGAAAAAATTAAACTCACTCACGCGCTCACTCACTCACTCATTCACCCACCCACCCACTCACTCACTCATTCACCCACCCACCCACCCACCCACTCAGAATAGATTACCCTGAATCTCCCAAATCACTGGGGCTCCTTTGAATGTGTTTATTTGTATCTATCCAAATTATGTATGTGCAGGGACCAAGCATTAGCCTACATGTTTGTGACAGTGATGTTCTTCCATTTCAGGGTGTTCGCCAGGTAACTTTGGGTGGAAATGTAAGTTCCGATGTGCGTGTCGACGAGGGCCATGTCACAAAGAGACCGGGTTTTGCGAGTCTGGCTGTCAGGAAGGGAAATACGGTGTTGGCTGCCAGCTCTGTGAGTAGCACCAGTAGTTTGATGTACACAGTAAACAGTCATGTCATGCTGTATACCGTAAACAGTCATGTTCTGCTGTATACTATAAACAGTCACGTCATGCTGTATACCGTAAAGTCACGTCCTGCTGTATACCGTAAACAGTCACGTCATGCTGTATACCGTAAACAGTCATGTCATGCTGTATACCGTAAACAGTCATGTTCTGCTGTATACCGTAAACAGTCATGTTCTGCTGTATACCGTATATAGTCACGTCCTGCTGTATGCCGTAAAGTCACATTCTGCTGTATGCCGTAAACAGTCATGTCCTGCTGTATACCGTAAACAGTCATGTTTTGTTGTCCACTTTGGATGTTTGTATTCTACGATTGATGTACTGTGAACAGTGGGCGGTGGGGTAGCCTAGTGGTTAATGTGTTTGCTCGTCACACCGAAGACCCGGGTTCGATTCTACACATGGGTACAATGTGTAAAGCCCATTTCTGGTGTCCCCTGCCGTGATATTGGTGGAATATTGCTAAAAGATGCATAAAACCATACTTCATACTCACTCACTGTGAACAGTCAGATGTTTCTGTATACAGTTAACAGTCATGTTCCGCTCCAAACAGTGAACACTCATTTCTTTTTTTTCTAGTTGTTTTTGTTTTACAACATTTTCTATGCTATCTCAATCTGTAATCTACCTACAAGTCTGAAGCCTGTGGCAAGTAATATTTCTGTCTGTATTGCTGGATCAGGTTGGACTAGTCAATACTAAGACCAACAAATTCTTTCCCAAATACAAATTGGGTTGGTGTTGATAATATTTATTCAATTGTTTTTCAGTAAATGAGTGCTTGTACGACAGTCAAGGTGTGAACTACACGGGAACACTCAGTGTTGGTGACGAAGGAAAGACGTGCATAAGTTGGTCGCATCCTTTTATACAACGGGAAGGATATACGCTGGACAGATTTCCCCCTGGCGACAGTCCCGAGAACTACTGTCGGAATCCTAAAAACAACTATGGAAATTACGGAGTCAAGCCATGGTGTTTCTTCTCAACCACTTTGAAAAAGAATTTTGTGACATGTGGAAAGTTGAAGACATGTTGTAAGTAAATATGTTTAATGTGAAAATTGACTTCTCTTCAAGAGGATGTGACATACAGGAAGTACCACAGGGTGTGGGGGTACTGGATTCAGGGCTTTTCTTCAAGTATCACAGGGTGTAGGGGTACTGGATTCAGGGAAATTCTTGAAGTATCACGGGTGTAGGGGTGCTGAATGAGTGAATTGAGTTTAACGCCGCACTCAGCAATATTCCAGCGATATGGCGGCGGTCTGTAAATAATCGAGTCTGGACCAGACAAAATCCAGTGATCAATAGCATGAGCATCAATCTGCGCAATTGGGAACGGATGACATGTGTCAACCAAGTCAGCGAGCCTGACCACACAATCCCGTTAGTCGCCTTTTACGACAAGCAGTCGCCTTTTATGACAAGAATGGGTTGCTGAAGACCTATTCTACCCCGGATCTTCACGGGTCTGTAGGGGTACTGGATTCAGTGCATTTCTTGAAGTACCACAGGGTGTAGGGGTACTGGATTCAGGGCATTTCTTGAAGTATCACAGGGTGTAGGGGTACTGTATTCAGAGGATTTCTTGAAGTATCACAGGGTGTAGGGGTACTGGATTCAGATCATTTCTTGAAGTATCACAGGGTGTAGGGGTACTGGATTCAGGGCATTTCTTGAAGTATCACAGGTGAAGGGGTACTTGATTCAGGGCATTTCTTGAAGTATCACAGGGTGTAGGGGTACTGGATTCAGGGCATTTCTTGAAGTATCACGGGGTGTAGGGGTACTGGATTCAGGGCATTTCTTGAAATATCACAGGTGAAGGGGTACTGGATTCAGGGCATTTCTTGAATCATCACGGGGTGTAGGGGTACTGGGTTCAGGGCATTTCTTGAATCATCACATGTGAAGGGGTACTGGATTCAGGGCATTTTTTTGAAGTATCACAGGGTGTAGGGGTACTGGATTCAGGGCATTTCTTGAAGTATCACATGGTGTAGGGGTACTGGATTCAGGGCATTTCTTGAAGTATCAGGGTGTAGTACTGGATTCAGGGGATACCTTGAAGTATCACAGGGTGCAGGGGTACTGGATTCAGGGCATTTCTTGAAGTATCACAGGGTGTAAAGGTACTGGATTCAGGGCATTTCTTGAAGTACCACAGGGTGTAGGGGTACTGGATTCAGGGTATTTCTTGAAGTATCACAGGGTGTAGGGGTACTGGATTCAGATCATTTCTTGAAGTATCACGGTTGAAGGGGTACTGGATTCAGGGTATTTCTTAAAGTATCACAGGGTGTAGGGGTACTTGATTCAGTGCATTTCTTGAAGTACCACAGGGTGTAGGGGTACTGGATTCAGGGCATTTCTTGAAGTATCACAGGGTGTAGGGGTACTGGATTCAGGGGATTTCATGAAATATCACAGGGTGTAAGGGTACTGGATTCAGGGCATTTCTTGAAGTATCACGGGGTTTAGGGGTACTGGATTCAGAGGATTTCTTGAAGTATCACAGAGTGTAGGGGTACTGGATTCAGGGCATTTCTTGAAGTATCACAGGGTGTAGGGGTACTGGATTCAGGGCAATTCTCGAAGTATCACGGGGTGTAGGGGTACTGGTTTCAGGGCATTTCTTGAAGTATCACAGGGTGTAGGGGTACTGGATTCAGGGCATTTCTTGAAGTATCACAGGGTGTAGGGGTACTGGATTCAGAGGATTTCTTGAAGTATCACAGGGTGTAGGGGTACTGGATTCAGGGCATTCCTTGAAGTATTTGGAAAATCATGAAATATTAGGTCATGATCATGTCCTGTAATACTGGGCCCTGGGCATGTCATGCGTAACTGGGCCCAGGGCATGTCATGCGTAACTGGGACCACGGCATGTCCTGTAATACTGGGACCAGGGCATGTCATGTATTACTGGGACCAGGGCATGTCATGTGTTACTGGGACCAGGGCATGTCATGCGTTACTGGGACCAGGGCATGTCATGCGTTACTGGGACCAAGGCATGTCACGCGTTATTGGAACCAGGGCATGTCATGTCTTATGTGGACCAGAGCAAGTCATCTATAACTTTGACCAGGGCATGTCATGTATTACTGGAACCAGGGCATGTCATGTGTTACTGGGACCAAGGCATGTCATGCGTTACTGGGACCAAGGCATGTCAAACATTACTTGGACCAAGGTTTCTTTTTCACTTAAAAGGGAAAAGCCAATGTATTGCACTATTTTGGCTTTATAACCTATTAAAAATACATCTTGGGGATTTGTGCAGTTGCGATCGTTCCCTGAAATATTGGGTTTTGTATTCATTGTGAAATGTGTCAATCACCTGGGGTTTTTTTTACGCATTGCGGGGGGGTATTAAAATGGAGTCCGTCCGTGCACATTTGTCTTTTCTGGAGCAGAACTCTAAAACCGTTCAATATTTCTTCACCAAACTTGGCACATACATGGATCTGGTGGTGTACTGGTGCCTTTTGGTAGTTTTGGAATTCTGAATTAAATATTTTTGGCGTTTCCATGGCAACAAGTTCGACTTAGACTGAAATTGGTGATAGTGCTCTTTTCCGAAGCAGAACTCTAAAACTGTTCACTATTTCATCACCAAACTTGGCACATAGATAGATCTGGTGGTGTACTTGTGCCTCTTTGTAGTTTTGGAATTCTGAATAAAATATTTTTGGCGTTTCCATGGCAACAAGTTTGACTTAGACTGAAATTGGTGGTAGTACTCTTTTCCGAAGCAGAACTCTAAAACTGTTCACTATTTCATCACCAAACTTGGCACATAGATAGATCTGGTGGTGTACTTGTGCCTTTTGATAGTTTTGGAATTCTGAATAAAATATTTTTGGCTTTTCCATGGCAACAAGTTCGACTTAGACTGAAATTTAGGGTAGTGCTCTTTTCCGGAGCAGAACTCTAAAACTGTTCAATATTTCTTCACCAAACTTGGCACATAGATAGATCTGGTGGTGTACTGGTGCCTTTTGGTAGTTTTGGAATTCTGAATAAAATATTTTTGGCGTTTCCATGCCAACAAGTTTGACTTAGACTGAAATTGGTGGTAGTGCTCTTTTCCGGAGCAGAACTCTAAAACCATTCACTATTTCATCACCAAACTTGGCACATAGATAGATCTGGTGGTGTACTGGTGCCTTTTGGTAGTTTTGGAATTCTGAATAAAATATATTTGGCATTTCCATGCCAACAAGTTTGACTTAGAATGAAATTGGTGACAGTGCTCCTTTCTGGAGCAGCGCTTTCAAAACCTTTCAATACTCTCCTTCCACTTTTCTATATACACACCTAAATATTTGACATAATCATTACTCGTAAACATAGTAATGAAGGGTATTTTGACATTGAGGGGGATATTGATGACTTTGTCTTCTTGTTTCATATAATGATGATTTCCTGCAAAATTTATCCTTTCCCTCTTATAGCGTGAAAAAGTTCGCCATTTTGTTCATTTCCTGTGTTGAAACTGTTTACTAAGCAATCCTCATTGAAAGTTGTCTTTTGTCCTACAGCCTGTCCAGATGGTCTGTTTGGTGTTGGCTGTAAATCTGTTTGTCACTGCCGGACTATAGACGAGGTGTGTGACAAGTTGTTCGGAACATGCAAATCTGGCTGTGCAGCAGGATGGACTGGACTCAACTGTCAGAGAAGTAAGTCTGTGGAGATATTCATAAAATTAATGTTTCAATGAGTAAAAGAATAAAAATCACACACAGAAAGAAGTTGACTTATATATGTCTGGAAACTTGGACCTGGAGGGTTGACATTCTCCTCCCATTTCCCATCTTCCCCTTCCCTTCAATCTGTCAGAGGTATGTGTATATTTTCGTCCGTTGTCTAAGAAGTAAATCATGATTACCTATCTACTCTTACAGTGTGTCCAGAGGGCAAGTATGGCCAGGACTGTGCCCAGACGTGCAGCCACTGTTACCAGAAGTCATGTTGAGAGAGTGTCAGAAAACTGTGAGAGTGTCAGCACATTACTGTACAGATAGTGAGAGTACAGTAATGCCATGACTGTACAGATAGTGAGTATATCAGTAATGTGTATGACTGTACAGATAGTGAGTATATCAGTAATGTGTATGACTGTACAGATAGTGAGTATCAGTAATGTGTAGGGTAGTACAGATAGTGAGTATATCAGTAATGTGTGGGGCAGTACAGATAGTGAGTATATCAGTAATGTGTGTACAGATAGCACAGATAGTGAGAGTATATCATAGTGAGTATATGTGTGTGGACTGCAGATGTACAGATAGTGAGTATATCAGTAATGTGTAGGAGTGTACAGATAGTGAGCATATCAGTAATGATGGGTGAGTACACAGATGTGTAGGCAATGTAGTACAGATAGTGAGTATATCAGTAATGTGTATGACTGTACAGATAGTGAGTATCAGTAATGTGTAGGGTAGTACAGATAGTGAGTATATCAGTAATGTGTGGGGCAGTACAGATAGTGAGTATATCATTAATGTGTAGGACGTATGTACAGATATGTGTACAGATATAGTGAGTGAGTATCAGTAATGTGTAAGGTGGTGTACAGATAGTGAGTATATCAGTAATGTGGCAGCAGTACAGATAGTGAGTATATCAGTAATGTGTGGGCAGTACAGATAGTGAGTATATCATTAATGTGTAGGAATGTACAGATGTGTATGAGTACAGATATCAGTAATGTGTATGACTGATACAGATAGTGATGTATCAGATAATGTGTAGGGTAGTACATTGATAGTGAGTATATCAGTAATGTGTGGGGCAGTACAGATAGTGAGTATATCAGTAATGTGTAGGATGAACGTACAGTAAGATAGTGAGTATATCAGTAATGTGTAGGGACTGTACAGATAGTGAGTATATCAGTAATGTGTAGGGCAGTACAGATAGTGAGAGTAATGTGTATCAGATAGTGGTAGCAATATATCATCAGTAATGTGTAGGGCAGTACAGATAGTGAGTATATCAGTAATGTGTGTAGTGGAATGTACAGATAGTGAGCATATATAATGTAATAGCACAGATAGTGAGTATCAGTAATGTGTAGGGTAGTACAGATAGTGAGTATATCAGTAATGTGTGGGGCAGTACAGATAGTGAGTATATCATTAATGTGTAGGAATGTACAGATAGTGAGTATATCAGCAATGTGTGTAGGAGTAGCACAGATAGGGTGAAATGCAGATATATATATCATTAATGTGTAGGAATGTACAGATACAGATTCATGCAAGTGAGGACATCAGTAATCAATGTAATGGGGTGAGTAGTACAGTAGGTGAGTATATCAGTAATGTGTGGGGCAGTACAGATAGTGAGTATCCATCATTAATGTGTAGGAACGTACAGATAGTGAGTATATTCAGCATCAATAATGTGTAGGGTAGCACAGATAGTATACATCAGCAGCAATAGTGAGTATCAGCACAGATGGTGAGCATATCATTAATGGTAGTACAGATAGTGAGTATATCAGCAATGTGGGGCAGTAGTACAGATAGTGAGTATATCATTAATGTGTAGGAATGTACAGATAGTGAGAGTATATTCAGTAATGTGTAGGGGCACAGACAGTGAGTACAGATGTGTGAGCACAGCCCATCAGTATGTGTGGGACTGTACAGATAGTGAGTATATCAATCAATAATGTGTGGGGCAGTACAGATGGTGAGTATATCAAGTAATGTGTAGGACTGTACAGATAGTAGAGTATATCAATAATGAGTATGTGTAGGGCAGTACAGATAGTGAGTATATCAGTAATGTGTGACTGTAAGACTGTACAGATAGATATATCAGTAATGTGTAGGAATGTACAGTGTACAGATTGAGTGATATATCATGTGTGGGACTGGGATAGTACTGTACAGATGGTGAGTATATAAGATTAATGGTGTGAGGAATGTACATATATAGTATATCAGTAATGTGGCAGGGCTGTACAGATAGTGAAGTATATCATTAATGTGTAGGAATGTACAGATAGTGAGTATATCAGTAATGTGTATGACTGTACAGATAGTGAGTATATCAGTAATGTGTAGGACTGTACAGAAAGTCATTATGTTATGCCAGTAATGTGTAAGACGATGCTGAGGACTGAATTCATGGAGCCTAGGTGACTACTCATGTCCTGTGTTTCAGAATGTCCTGATTCACGTTACGGCCGCAACTGTGAAGGAGAGTGTGGCCAGTGTAAAGATGGAGAGCCCTGTAATAAGAAGACTGGAATCTGTTTTAGAGGCTGCAGTAATGGCTACATAGGATACAAGTGTGATGAAAGTAGGTGAAACGCGATCAATATACAGACCGTGTGTCTCTGTGGGCGATGCATGTACACATGATCACTGTGTCTGGGAATGTGGTCTATGCAAATGTGACCATCACATGCATCTTTCATTTCAGAATGTCCTTGGGGGATGTATGGCAAGAACTGCAAAGTGAACTGTGGCTACTGCAAGACTGGCACCACGTGTGACCCTGTGACCGGCCGATGTCTCAGTGGATGTCAAGCTGGAAAAATGGGAGACAACTGTACCACTGGTAGGTTGTAACAAAGTATCGGCGCCATGTTGTCTGTCATCGGCCTGTTGTTGGAATGCATATGTGTAGATGATCTGGTTCCTTTAACATGGGAGTCTCGAGAAATTTTCACATGTGGAAGTTTTCTTTTAATTACTGCTTTTAGAAAGAACAGAAGCAGGATATTGTAAACCTCTCTGTACCTCTATTAACTAAAGAATGTTTCTTCTCATTTCCAGACTGTGAAGATGGAATGTATGGAGAAAACTGTTCATTTGCTTGTGGAAGTTGCAAGTTTGGGAAGCCATGTCTTGCAAAAACCGGCCAGTGTATGGACGGTTGTAGTGATGGGTTCCTCGGGTACAGGTGTGCTGAAGGTGAGATCAGTAAATTCAATGTACACTCATAAATGTAATCAACAATGCTAAAGTTGATTATTTTTCGAACATGATTATTATTCATATGCTTCACACAAACTTTCTTCCCACTAGTGATGGGCTCTCTTGATACATGTGTAATGGCTGGCTTGCCTACTGTGAATCATATGGGTAATAAAACAACTTCTGTAACTTTGTTGTAGGAATCGTGGCACTAGAGGAAGGGAAGATAACTGGTGGGATCATCGCTGGTGTTGTCATCTTCCTTATCATTGCCATCATCATCGTTGTGGTGTTTGTGGTCTACAGGTAGGGATTGAGACTGTTGTTTCTTCTACACATGAGGCCAACACAAGCCAACGTAAAAGTATATGAGTTTGGATTGCCTTAGCACTACGATTGCATTGTGGAAGGAGCCAAGATCTTCAGTAACTCTTGGTCTACTGTGATAGTGTTAAGAGGCAATACAAACTGACCAGCCCAGCCCAGCCCAGCCCAGCTACCAATTAATCGACCGTGAAGATCTGTAGATATGTCTTTGTCTTCATACAGTCACCCGCGAATGTCCGGGTTAGAATTGATCTTCAGGAACCCATGCTTGTCGTAAGAGACGACTAACGGGATCGGGTGGTCAGGCTCACTGGCTTGGTTGACTAATGTCATCATATCCCAATTGCAAAGATCGATGCTCATGCTGTTGATCACTGGATTGTCTGGTTCAGACTCGATTATTTAAAGATTGCCGCCATATAGCTGGAATATTGTCGAGTGAGCCGTAAAACTAAACTCACTCACTCACTCACTCACTCAAATTAACTGTCAAGAAATAAATCTGTTGATAGTAAGTTTTGTTGAGCATGATCTCACTCTCTCTTACTCTTGTGTTTAGACATACTGACCTAATGTTTTCTCATAATACCACCAAATAATCAACCACATGGTCTTGAGATGCAACTTAATTGGTCAGTTGGGATTGGTCAGTTGGTCAGGCTTTCTTAATAACATGTCATCATAACCCGACATGCTGGTATGTTGCTTATAATGTCTATCGCTAGATTGCTTGGTCCAGACTTCATTGTTTGCACAAAGCTTGAGTATTGCCAGTTGCGGCTTTAAACAACAAACAGCTGGATGTACAAATGGTATAGAATCAACTGTTTGATAGTGGTTAACTGAGATGAGGATGTTTCTAGATGTGGGTTAAGTGTTTGGAATGAAATTAGTTTCAGATATCTTTTCTTTTTTAAAATTAAAATGGACTCCGTCCGTGCGTCCGTCCGTGCGTCCGTGCACATTTGTCTTTTCCGGAGCATAACTCTAGAACCGTTCAATGTTTCTTCACCAAACTTTGCACATAGATAGATCTGGTGGTGTACTGGTGCCTTTTGGTAGTTTTGGAATTCTGAATAAAATATTTTTGGCTTTCCATGGCAACAAGTTTGACTTAGACTGAAATTGGTGATAGTGCTGCTTTCTGGAGCAGAACTTTAACAACGTTTCAATACTCTCCTTCCACTTTTTTATATACACACTAAATATTTGACATAATCATGACTGGTAGAAATAATCATGAAGAGTATTTTGCCATTGCGGGGGATATTGATGATTCTTTTTTATATATTCCTCCTTGGGGTACTTATAAGCATTTAAATGTCCATTTAAAATCCCTACGACAGTTGTAACAATATTTTGAATAAAATATTTACAAAACAAAAACTACGTTTTGTCTTGTGAGACCACCCTTACGGGGCCCTCTGGCCCCCTACAGCCAAGAGCAGGTAACTCCAGACCGTAACCTCGTGACTCTCTTTCCATGCTGTCGCTGTACCCGACCAAGACGTGTCCCCATACCAGAAGGTTTTTCCCTGCTAACTAAGAGAGTTATGAGTGGTTCAGAACCGCAACTGTATGTATGGTTCTCTTTTTTCCCTTTTGCGAATTGGGGCTTCTGAATTTTTCTTTATCCATAAATTCTCATAACTTGGTACCTGTCGCATGGGTCAGCTTAGTCGCGTGTCAAGATGGCGGACAGGTCCCTCACTAGCCTTCCTGTTCATTGGTTTCCCATGTGGTTTTCAATGTTACAGGTGGTTTTAGTGATTTTTTATTCAGATCTTTATGCGCGTCGCAGAGGGCGATGTCAACTGCTCGCATTTTCTATGGCATTACGCTCAAAACCGTAATTGCTAGTTATGCTGCAGTGTTTACTAAGGTCAACTGCACGCCGCCACGTTGTCGTGATTAGTTGTGTCGCCAATGCGCCTGTTTACATGTATTTGTATGTGGGTATAGGGTAGATTGCTGCACAGGGTTTTTACTTGTTGCAGTTTAAACCCTGTACTTCCTGCCTTGCTGCAATCCCCCGCATCGGGATTCCCATCGAGGTTCGCTTACGCTTCGTTTAGTGCAGAAGGAACATGAGGAAGAGGGGTGCGGCATGTGCCATGTTCTCGCCCAAACCATTCGGTCGAGTACAGACACACGCTTGTTCTAGCAGCAAACCTGCTTCGGGCGGGGTGATCTCTGGCCGCAGGATCCTCCGGCCCAAGCGCTCCCATAGTCAGGAAAGGTCCACGGAGCCGCTTCCACGCCGGAGCCGGCTCCCAAAAGCTAAGGCTACCAAGGCGCTCACACGCGACTCATGCCCCTTCTCGCATCTCCTCCTGCTTCCATCTCTGTACCCGCTTCACCCCCTCTTGATTCAGCACCGTACAAAACGCTCCTGCTGATTCGCTAACCCGTTTTTCCAGGAGCAGATGTCGCCAGTCAAGTCCCTGATTGATACGGCGCTAGCAGGGTTCCGTAAGGAGCTCAGCGCGTCCGCTGGGGCGGAGCTGACACATCTGGGGTTAGCATGCGCCGAAGCCGCTTCGAGAACGCAGCCTCCCGGAGCGGCTTGATCCTGGCTTCGCCGTGGTGATAGCATGCCCTCGGGCGGCTGGTGACGACCTGGCTACGCCCGGGCGGTCACAGGTGCCTGGGTCGTATGCCAGACAGGGTTGCCCCCTGTCATCATCGCCTGGTGTCCCGGACTGGCGGTCGCCTAGGCACCCGACCAGTTCGGGATACCTCGGCGCCTGGCAGCCAGTCTGGGCTGCCCGGGAAGCCTGCTGCGGCAGGTTCCTCTCGGGCTACTCGGCGGCCTGGCGCTGGTTCCTCCGCAGGGATGTTTTTCCCCTGGCCTCTGGACCTTATTACTTTTCTGGTCCTGCCTCTGCTGCCTCCTCTCGGCGCTTCTCTCAGGAGTCACTGAGATGATGACGCCAAGGATTCTGCCAGTCGATATGGAGGAGGAGGAAAGACGGAGGAACCGAGGCGGAGTACCGTACTCCTTTGCCCGGCGTCCCGCGCAGGTTCGGGGATAAGATCGCCAAGTCCTGCAGCAGGTGGCGGTTCCTGGCCCTGCACCCACCCCGGAGTTTCGCCCCCGGGAGGCGTCAGATCTAACCGGGTCGCAGAGGTGCCCAGCGCATGATTCTCCCATCACTGGTCAGTGAAGCGGTGAATCCCGCTTCACAGCTGGTACCGCTTCGGCGCTTTGATTTGCCGCCGACGGGCAGGCGGTACCCAGTTAGGTGAGAGGCGCTTCTTCGAACCACCGCAGTGGTGGAACAGCGCCAGATTTGCCTCCAGTTACATTGGAGGGTCGATCTTCGCCTCCCCTGGCTCCTCGAACAGGCAGGGCAGGCGCCCCTCCCCCCTTTCCGCTAGTTATCACTACGCTGAAGTTCTGCCTACGGCCATTTGAAGAATGTTGCCGTCTGCGCTGCTCAGCAACTTAAAGTGCCGCCCATTCAGCCTACCTGTCTGCATTGCAGGGACAGCTTGCGGCCCACAGCTGGCGGTGCCGACTCATCGGAGTCGGTGCTTTCCTTGGCGGCAACTAACGGATGCTGGACTGCCATCTGGCTCGACAGCATTAGGTGCTGTGCCAGCCAGAATGATGGAATGCAGTCATGGGCTTGGCGCCGCCTGTGGCTGTCTGTGTGGCACGGTATTCGCCGCCCACACAGCAAGCTCTACTCATTGCCCTATACCATGGGATCTTCCCCTGTTCCTGGGGCATTACAGGTGGTTCGGGGGCACGCAAAGAGGCTGTCTCTACCTTTTAAGGACTCAAAGCCTTTGTTGGGCAGCCCTCCGCCTCGCCATCGCCTCCCCGCCAGCATCAGGATACTCGGGCGACCCGCGGCGGCGATGTTGTTAAGTGGGCTGCCCCTTTGCAGTCCAAGCGAGCAAGCGCCGAGAGGCAAGCGTGAAGCCAGCGCCAGCGCAGCAGTCTTTCGGGCAAGGGAAGCCAGCCTCGCTTCCCACTGATTCATTCCCCAGAGCCCTTTGTGGGCCCCCCACTCACGCATGGCGGAGACTTGCCGGTGACGTGCACTGCTCTTGCCACACCGCCCCTCATCGTGACGGGCTGTCCCTATTCCTCTGGGAGTGGGAGAGGCAGCCACCTCAAATCCCTGGGTCCTGTCCACTGCTCAGGGATGGCCATTTGCCACAGTGAGTGGAGCTGATCCTCCGGCCCTTCTCCTCCTTCCCAGTTCGCACACCGTAGCCGACCTCCCGACAAGGCGGAAGTCCTCCGTGTCGAGGTTCAGTCTTTACTGACCAAGGCAGCCATCGAGGTGGTTCCTAAAGGCCAGCCGAAGAGGGGTTTATTCCACCTACCTCGCCGTGGACCAAGAAGGGACGGAGGTTCGTGACCCATTCTGAATCTCAGAGGGCTGAACAAATTACTGGAGGTGCCGCTCTTTCAGGATGGAGACACTCAGGTCAGTGATCCTCCTCGGTCGAGACAGGGGATTGGCTTACGCCAATCTATCCCAAAGACGATACCTCCATGTTCCAATGCACCCCAATTCAAGAAGTACCTCCGGCCTCCTTCGACGGTACGCATACCAGTTTCGCGTGCTCCCCTTCGCATCTCCACGGCGCCAAGGGTGTCGCCACCAAACTTATGCTAATCCCAGCTCAGCTAGCCAGGTCTCAGGGCAGGTATTTGTCACCGCATCTGGACGTATTGGCTACTGGTCTTTATGGGCCTCAGTTAAGCAGACCCTCCACACTGTGCGCGTGCTGGATACTCTGGTGTCACTGGGCTGATTATCAATCTCAAGAAATCAGAACTTCGCCCCGACTTAGGATCTGATATTCTTGGGAGCCAGATTCAACACGGCGCTAGGGATTGTTTCCCTTTGCTCGACCGCATCGCCAAAGTCCGAGGGACTGTGTTACAGTTCCTCCAGGAAGTCTCCCCAAGCCGCGTCGGCCCGAACATGGCTTCGGGCTGCTCGGCAAACATGGCGGCGCATAGTGGACGTGGTTTGGCTGCGCACGCGAGGATGCGCAACCATCCAGCAAGCATTAGCAAACTCAGCTGTGGTCCCACTCATGAGGGCTACCAGATTATGCTCATAACGCCAGAGTGGTTAATCCTCTCACTTGGCGATGGTGGGACGAAGCTGGAATTTGTCCAGGGGTATCCCCCACACCCTGACACCTTCTCCTCAGTTCAGACGGACGCCCTCACAGGTTTGGGGGTCCTGGCTGGCACTCAGCCTCCGGCCTCTGGGCTATCGGAGCAGGAGAGTCAACCTACACATCAATGTGTTAGAACTGAGAGCAGTCCGCAAGGTGTTCGAGTAAGCCCGGTGTTGGTGCAGGGCCGTGGTGGTTCGCTCTAGAAATGGACAATCAAACGCCATGACTACATTCTCGGGGCAAGGCGGCACAGTGTCTCCTCCCGCAAGCCCTTCAGGGAGGCGTGGGCAGTTTCTACTGTGGTGCGATCAGTTCAACATTCGGTTTTGCCTGTTTATCTCCCCGGGTAGACAACACGTGCAGACAGCGCTTCACGGGCGTATACTAGCCCCACACGATGAGTGGATGCTCGACCGAGATATTCGGGATTATCTCCCAGTTGTTAAGGTCGCCCAGGTGGATCTGTTTGCGCCTGGGGTGATGGTGAACCAGATTCCTGTGTTTTGCTCCCGATTCTCGATCCGGGGTGCGTTAGCCAAACGCCGTAAAGCAACGCGCGCTCTTCAGCTAGATTGGACGGACAGGGTACTGTGCTCTCCTCGATACCACTGATTTCCAGGGTCCTGTCGCAGCTGACCGCGACAACCAGCTCGGTACTTGTGCTTGGCACCTTTGGTCGGCACAAAGCTGGTTTCCGGTAATTCTCAGGTTTCTGGCTCAGCCTCCTGTTCTATTACTACTTTCGACCAGACCTCCTATCCCAGAACGAGCGCCCCACCAATCCCAGGATTCAGTGGGTGGCTTGGGCCGCTATCAGGGGATCGCGCCTCCATGCGAAGCGAATTCTGCACCAGTTGCAGACACACAATTTGGCTTCAGCGGAGGATTCGGCTAAACTTGCTCATATGAGGATAGATGGGCCTGTTATTCAAGCGCTGGTGTGTCAACAGGGGATTCTTGATCCCTTTCTACAGGATTTAGTCTGTGTGTTAGAATTCTCCAGTCTCGCTGGAAGCCGTCTAGCGGCTTCAACTGTTCGAGGATATTCTACAGCTATTTCTAAGGCCACATTCTGCTGGGACGGTGCTCTCTTTGGGCAGCACCTCTGGTACAGCAGCTTTTAGCAGGCGTGGACAGAATCCGTCCGGGTTGTCCGGGCGGATTGTCCCCCGTGGGACTTGTCAATCGTTCTTGATTGGCTGTCCGGGTCCACTGCTTCCCCACAATCTGTCGGTTCTTCTTCACTCCAGCTGTTGACGTGGAAGACGGCGCTTTCTTGTGGCGGGTGACTTCAGGCAGGCGGGCTGGGCTTATATTCACGCAATGTCGGGCCGATCCCGCTTACTGTTTTCACAAAGACAGAGTTAGGCATACGGGCTGCTGATACTTACCGTCCTAAGAAGGATAGTCCTTCCATGTGGACGGCGCCCTCTTAGCTTCCAGCTTTCACTCAGCCTTCCCGTCCGGTACCTTCTCTACGACGTGTTCACGTCTTAGATGTCCTCAGAAGACACTTAAGGCTTATATCAAACCGAACAAGGGTAACTAAGTGAAGGGTAACCAATTGTTTTGTTGTTATGCATGGGGTTCATGCTGGTCTCCGATGCACCAAGCAAACCATTTCTAGGTGGCTTGTCTCTGCCATACACATGAGCTATACTCAAACAGGGATGTATCCGCTCTGTAGGGTTGAAAGCTCATTCGGTTAGGGCAGTGGCTAGCATCGACAGCTTACGCTGCAGCCCTGCCCATTGAGGAGATCTGTCGCTGCTATTTGGAGCAACCGAAAATCGCTCATCCGGCATTACCAACTTGACAGACTCTCTCAGTGAGCGTGCTTCGGTTGCCCGGGTCAGTCAGTTCTTCCAGTGGGTTGGTTCCACCCTCTAGCTTCATTGAGCTTTCGAGGTTTTATTGTGTGAACCATTATCTGCCAATTCTTTTTTAACACTGGTGTTGGGTTTTACAAATCTTGTTACATTTTCCCTTGGTGATGGGTTTTTATGTGGTGATGTTTTTTTATTCCCATGTCTCTTGCTTTCTAACCGAGAAGCGATATAGACTAAACTGCCTTGGAAACTTTGCTGCTCATATTCTCGCATTTCGTTTCTTGGGTTTATTATGGACCCTTATCTTCACTTCGAGTAGATTACGGAAGGAGGGAGGGTGTGTCTCGCTTCTGTTGCATTAGCTGCAGGTTTCGCTGGACAAATTTGCATAACGCTACTCCCTGACCCTGGCTCATGCCCCCCGCCTGATTGGCTTTGGTGGACATCGCAATGACCGGGTAAGTGTGCCTTTTCTGCTATAATTAGCTTGGGAAATTCACTTCTCGTATCGGGGTGTTTAAGCAGACAGAATGCAGCCCTGAGATCCGCCTTTAGGAGTCTGTCTTATGTTAGGTAGTACCCAAGGAGGAATATATAAAAGAATCGAACTAACCTGTAGAGGTTTAAGATCTCTTTGAATATATTCCTCCTTAGTATCACCACCTCCCCCGTGATTCTGTCTGACTCTCTGCTCAGCATAGAAAGTGAGGTACGAGGTTACGGTCTGGAGTTACCTGCTCTTGGCTGTAGGGGGCCAGAGGGCCCTGTAAGGGTGGTCTCACAAGACAAAACGTAGTTTTTGTTTTGTAAATATTTTATTCAAAATATTGTTACAACTGTCGTAGGGATTTTAAATGGACATTTAAATGCTTATAAGTACCCCAAGGAGGAATATATTCAAAGAATCTTAAACCTCTACAGGTTAGTTCGACTTTGTCTTCTTGTTTTTCTTGTGATGTACTTGAAAATTTTTGTCTTTTTTTATTACTCACAGATATATTCTAAATGATTAAATCCACTTGGAAGCATTTTCATGGGCTGTATATTTTGTGTTGTCAGTATTTCTTGACATTATTTTTTAAGCTATCAACATAATAAACTCTGTAGCTAGTCCAGCTTGAACAAGTCAGAATTATTTGCTTTACTTATATTTTGTCAGTTGTTTCCAATTCCAATTTTTAGCCATACTGATGCATTGAAAAGAACTGGTTCAGAACCAAAGCTTTGAAATGTTTGTATGTGAGGACTACAATTATTCACTTTTACATGTTCTCAACACAATTTTGTAGCCTGGAACCAGCAGATTAGCAAAGTTCAAAGGTTGTCAATAGTTTATTAGATGTCCATGAACTACATAGGTGTAAGATGCTAATTGATGCTGTGTCTTCCAGACGGAGACGCCACAAGCGTATGGACGTGAGCAACCCCCTGCCTCTGGACCCGAGGGATACAGAGAATAACGGACACAGTGAGAGCGCCCGCTTGTTGAGTGACTCACGGGTCGGAGATGCTACAAGGCTGGATCAAGATGAAAATGGAGGAGGCGAAGAGATCAATGAGCCGATATATGTCAACATCAACAGCAAGAAACAGACAAGCCCCGTGAAACTGGTGGACCTTGCAGATTACATCAAGAAACACAGGGAGAATAACTGTCTCGGATTTAAACAGGAGTTTGAGGTATGTATGTTCCAGGCAGAAACTTTTAGGCAGCTGGATGAGCTGATACACTATTTCTGTGTACTTGTCTGTCAACGTAGCTGAGATAACCCATTCAATTTGTACAAAGTGGTACTTGTTATCCTCGGTTTAATATTGTCAGAGGTCATTTGCAGTTATGTTTATGAAACTATCAATGTTGTCAGAATCCAGTCTCTAAAAAGGCTCTGATTCTGCAATTTGCAACAAGTCTACATGCAGTGGAAATCACATAATGTGCTGGTGCTATATCCATGACAATCACTTCAGTGTCAGATGTACACACTATTGAATATTAAGATCAACACCAAATGTATTTTAAAATCAACCATCTTGGTCATAAACATTAAGTACTAAGTAAATACTTACCAAATACTTTGCAAGTCTTCATGCACATAACCATAACATAACCAGTGTTAGTTTGAAGAACATCACCCCCGTGAAGATTCTGGTTAGAATTGATCTACACGAAACCAAGCTTGTCGTGATAGGCGACTAACGGGATCGGGTGGTCAGGCTTGCTGACTTGGTTGACACATGTCATCACATCCCAATTGCGTAGATGGAAGCTTGTCATTTACAGACTCCCGCCGTCCAACTTGAATATTTGCCGAGTGCGGCGTAAAACTAAACTCTGGCTCACCCTAAGAACATCAAATCTCATTTGCACATAGGATTACAAGTGGACCAGTGAAATGATATAAGTCATAAGAGCGAGGCAGCATACATTTGTTACTTGTTGCGTATCACAGTAAGGCTTCCATATGTGGTGCACATTTCGTAAAACCTAAATCAATAAGATTGTTTACATTCTCTTGTGCCTTCCTGATCTGTCAATCTGATTCAAAGTACGTCCATACAAGTTTGACATACATACATTGAATGTTCAAAAGGATGTTTGGTTGAGAGAATTAATTGTTCTGTATGAACAGTTGTGCAAAGTAGATGTTGAGAATTTTGATTTGGAGACTGTTAATCAGGTGCTGAACAACTTAGGTAAGCTATGTGACCAGTTCCAGACCAGCTGTAATGTCCATACTTTATACTAGAATGAAGATGATATTGAGTTCTCACATAGTACGGACTGCCTCTGTTTCCAGGAACTCCCTATGGGTCTGCTAGCTCTGTGTGAGGTGGCCCGACGTGCTGATAATAAGGCCAAGAATAGATACGGAAACATCGTAGCATGTAAGTTGACAGCAACACTGTAGCATCTTTATCAATTCACATTAAGAATTATCTTGTAACATATGTTATATTTGGGAATACACTTTGTTAGTAAAGTACAAATTCTAGTACTTTTTGAGTTGAGCCCCATCCGGGATTCGAACCCACACCCTCAGAGTCAGGCACCTAATCGCCAGCACACTTAATCGCCAGCACACAAAGTCAGCCGCCTAACCCACTCAGCATAGGCGGATGACTTTGTGTGCTGGCGATTAGGTGCCTGACTCTGAGGGTGTAGGTTCGAATCCCTGATGGGGCTCAACTCAAAAAGTACTAGAATTTGTACTTTACTAAGAAAGTGTAATCCCTAATATAACATATGTTACATTTGACCACTTTCTGAATGCATTTTGTAATCAAGAATTATCTTACCTCACACATAAATGTCGTTTTCTGATTGGCTGAGCCAATCAATTTTACCTGCTTACAAGCGAGTAACATTTTCTATGTTAACCGCTGGAAATACGGGACTATGTGTTAGTAGTGGTTTGGCTGCTGCCAAACTCCGGTACTCCTTATTATGATCCAATACCCGTGCTTCAAACAGTTCAAAATTAACACTGAGATGTTCTGTAAGATAAATACTTGACTTTGTGTCCATGTGTTGCAGATGATCATTCCAGAGTTACCTTAGACCCCATGGCCAATGAAGCCAACTCGGATTACGTCAACGCAAACTTCATGGATGTAAGTATGCAGCTGGTATATACACACAGTAACCTTTTTGTCGGAAGCTGCCGGTGAAATGATGATGAGGAAGTTTAATGTTGGTAATAATAATGTGTTAGTTAGATATGGTGATGGTTGACAAGGTGTTTGTGTAGTCTCGTTCAGAGGTTGTTCATTAATCCAAGGACAGAGGCTTCATTACCCATTTACCTGAATCACTACATACCTCTAAAAGGTAAATGCTGAAGCTGTCTTTGAAAATTGAAACATAATACGGGGCGGTCAGGTAACCTAGTGGTTCGAGCATTGGCTCGTCTCGCCTAAGACCCGGGTTCGAATCCCCACATGGGTACAATGTGTGAAGCCCATTCCTGGTGTCCCTGGCCGTGATGTTGCTGGAATATTGCTAAAAGCGGCGTAAAAATAAACTCTGTCAGTCAGTGAAACATAATACAACCAAGATATAATAAAAGGGATTATCAATGCAAAAATAATTATTATACACTGATCTTATTGTCAAGGCCTGCTTAACTTTAGCTATATGTAATTTGTGAAGTTACTGTTGTTGAAGATATAGCATGTGTTGTGTGTTGCAGGGCTACAGCAAACAACATCAGTACATTGCATCTCAAGGACCAAACAAAGCCATGATTCGGGACTTCTGGCGGATGGTGTGGCAGCAGAGAGTGTGCAAGGTGGTCATGTTGACCAACCTAGTAGAGGCTTGTAAGGTGAGTGAACGACACAGACAACATAGTAGTGGCCTTTAAGGTGAGCAGGTTGTTTGTTGGTAAGTCCAGTTTTATGTTGACTGTCTACGAATAATGGGATGTCCTGAGTCTGGATCGATACAACTGGTCTATGTAGATGTGCATCAAGGGAGTCAGTGAGTCAGCCAACCGATCCCGTTAGCTGTCAGTCTTACTACAAGCATGGGTTGCAGAGGACCAATTCTTCCCCAGAACTTCATGGGTGTTGAACGACGTGATGGAGGCTTGTAGACTGAACATGCTACTGTGAAGGCAAGACTTCCGGAATACATGCTGTAAAGTACTGTGACAATTATTGATAGTATACGTACTGACAGATTGTAGTTCTTTGAGGACAATTCAGGTTTCAGCTTGGCCTTGTGCTTTTTAGGTCATCATGTTTTAAGCTCAACTATTTGTATGCATAACTTTCTTAAGAATGTTAAAAAACCTGTGATTTTATGTTGTGCAGAAAAAATGTGAGCAGTACTGGCCGGAGGAGGGCGGCATCAAGTACGGGGAGGTGACCGTCAGGATAGTGGACACTGCCAAGTACACAGACTACACCATCAGAACGTTTGAAATATCACAGGTCAGCAAACTGTGTGCGCTCTTGAATTCTAATTATCTCAGTTCTGAATTATTTTGTACCTGTCAGTGGAGTTTTTGTTCATTATTTGAAAGATAATTTGTACATTTGAGTGCTCTGGGATTATCAGTTATACGGCACTACTAACTGCCACTCAGAAAGTGTGTATTTACCTTGGTAATATTGGCCTGTTTCAGTTGGAGATCAGCCGTATCGTGAAACAGTTTCACTTCACGACATGGTCAGACCACGGCGCACCCACCTACCCTACAACCCTCCTGGCCTTCAGACGGAAGGTCCAGATGTACAACCCGGAGTCCTCTGCTCCCATCCTCTGTCATTGCAGGTAATAGCAGCTTTAGTCAAGCGGAATCATTCATATTGGCTTACATGTTATACCATTAATTATGGAACATGATGCTCATATGTTTTTACATGTAATCCAATCAATCATTGCTCTCTGCGCAATAAAAGTTTCCTTCAAATTGTTGCTGAATTCATGAAGGATGTCATACGATGATGTGTATATAAAAATCCTGTTGCCTCCCAAATCCTTAGAGTATAAAAACAATTGTGTATGTCATGTAGTCAAGATATCTGTGGCATTAAGATCAGATCCTAGTGTTTTGTATAGCTTCTCACTGATCTGAGGACTTCCCATACTATTTCACGTCTGAAGCACGTCAGAGAATTCTGTGAGACTCCCAAAGTTGCATCCTCATTAAGTCCTGGATTTTTGTTGCCAATTTTTTATTCGGAAGGATCTACTTGACAAATGTTGGTCATATTGATGGAAATTCCACGAGAAGCATGATTTGATCATAGATGTCTCCATTTCTGCATGTACCAATATTGAACTGCTAGGGTGTACATTAAACCTGAATTGATTTTCTGTATTGCAGTGCTGGGTGTATATAAAACCAGAACTGATATTCTGTATTTCTGTGCTGGGTGTATATAAAACCAGAACTGATATTCTGTATTTCTGTGCTGGCTGTGTATTAAACCTGAACTGATCTGCTGTATTTCAGTGCTGGGATTGGCCGTACTGGGACCTACATAGCCCTTGACTACCTGTTGGAACAGGCCCAGTCGGAGGACCAAGTGGACGTCCTGTGTATAGCCCAGCTGATGAGGACCAACCGTGTCAACATGATCCAGACATGGGTAAGTATAGCCTGACAAAGGCCTTGCTCAATCCACTAATATAATCAGGCCTCGCTTGTCTTCTTACACCAATGGTGAGGATGAGTTCTCACAAATCAACGACTGGATCATCTCAGTAGATTTGATTACAGACTCCAGTCATATAGCTGGAAGTGTGGCGTTAAACAATGAACAGGGAGAAAGAAAACCATGAGAAAAACCCTAAAAATAATCCAGAGATTCAACACTTACAAGGTTTGGGGGGCCTTTGGGACTTTGAATGAAGTTAATCAAAGTTACCAAATAATTAGCCATGTATTGTACATTCATATTCTCAGTGACAAGGGAATATCAATAATATTTTCTTGAAAAAATGATGTTATTATTCTGAATATTCTTTTTCTTTATAGTCATTGGTAAAGACTGAATCGAGACATAATAATAAATGTGTGATTCTCATTATTCCAGGAACAATATGCATTTGTGTATGATGCTGTGCTTGAGGCCGTCAAATCAGGGGAGACAACTATAGCAAAGTCTGCATTCCGCTCTACATACCAAAATATGCTGAGTTCAGCTACAGAGGGGGAGCCTAATAAACTAGAGGAACAGTACCAGGTAAACTTGATCCTCATTACTAGAAATAGTCTTGTCAAGTTTTAAAGTTGATATTTATGTGTTCATCTTAAATAGAAAGATGGAAATATGCCAGCAATGTTTATCCCAATACTGTATCAGAACACACATGATTTGTCATGACATATTTGCAGGTCATGATGTTGTGTGTACTTAAAATACTGTGTGTAAAATTGTATTGCATTATTATCAGTAAACTCACATATAACATCCAGGGACTGTCATACTTACTTATCGCGTTTTACTGCACAACTGTACATGAATAAAATGGTGCAAGTCGTGAGATAAGACAAGTATAATGATATACAATTTATAGTTTAAAACTTCCAATATTACACTCAAGCAAATGTGTCATGTGACGTATATACAAAACTCATGCAAAATTATGTACTGTAAACGTACTTATTTTCGCGTGGTGCAATTTTCGCGGAATTGACAGTTTAGACTACATCGCGCGGTCAATTATTCGCGCAATCAGTAATTGCCGGAACTGCCAGCTGTCTCTTTGGCCGCCACTAATAGCAGTGAAAACAAAAAGAGTGGCTTAACCTGTCAGGTGGCGTTTATTGCTTACTCACAGGAAATCCCTATCTGTGCGATATACTAGTACACAGTAATCCGTTCACTCCCGGAAGAGATGAAAAACACATCAGTCTTATGTTCCGAATTCTGACGATTTGACGAATTAACTTATACTGTATATGATGCTCTTTGTGATTTCAAACAAGCTGGGTTGTTGTGAATGAGATGATTGGGTGTTAGTGACTATTCGCTTCATGATGTACTGGTGAATAAAATCTTGATGAATAAATAAAATACTGCTGTATTATTTCTTTCCGAGTCGTTTCACGGTAATCTGTTTTGTATCAAACCATGTCATGTGACCAATTTTTCATGGCGGCCACAACACACATTGCTGTTTTCGCTAATTCGGCAATGGGATTTAGCTCATTATTTAATTATGTTTTGGGAAATCCATTACAACGACAGTTAAGTATGATCAGTCGTCATTTTAAGATTCCCTTTGATTTCTGTCTTCAAATGTGATGTGTTATGGTAACAACTCAGGGGCGAGCGTGGCTAGACTGAATGAATGACAGGTTTATTCGCGGTGTATAAATTTTCGCGCTAAAATGTTTTGCGCGAAAATAAAACCTGCGCGGAATATAATACGTTTACAGTATTATGCAGTACTAAATTTCACACTCGCTTCATATAAGTAGTGGGACACACTTGCACATGTAATAATCTCTATGTATTATAGTATATAAAGGGCAATAATAGTAGTAAACTACTCCAAACAAAAATCACCGATTTCTCTCATGTTTCTATAGTTCCAAGACATATCAACTAAAGTAATATGACCGGTTAACTAAAGAACTGGGCAGTCCTTAACTCAGTTGTGGGTGGCATGTTTGCTGCTTATATGATGTAAAATATCTGCCATGGTAGAGATCGAGTCTGCAGAGTAGGAAAAGGATATATTCAGGACTTAAAAGCCAGGCCGTCAGTTACTGACAAAACACCCTTGATTTGACCAATGTGTGATGATGAATCAAGGGACATTCCTACATTGTAAACCAAAAGTCACAGTGTTCTTTAATCTGATTGGTTGAAAAACATGATCGAATGGTATTCGATTCCCGGAAATTACAAGACTATTCACTGTGTATTGACATGTACAGATATCACACACAATTGTATTGTTGCATCGTCAGCAGTGGTGACGTCATTCAAATCATATTGTGATGTCATAATGACGTCACAAATGAACAGTTCCAGATGGTACCATGGGAACCAGTTGAAACGGCCGGCTGATGACATTTCACTGCTGTACCCGTACTCGATGTCAACGAGTGCAGACAGACAGCCTTTTAGGTGTCTTTTGTGTTTACAATGTTGATAAACATCATGTGTTGGCCAATTGTTTATCTTCTAATTGAAGCCTGTCTACACAGGTTGAATATGATTTCACATTGTGTGCACACAGTACTAAGAATTGTCATGAGTCAGCTTACAACATGGTGAAGCAGATTTTAGCCTTGATGTATTCTACCCCGTGTGTTTTGTGACTGACCACCTCTTCCTTCAGGTGCTACAGACCCTGTCCCCCACAGTGGAAAGAAGTGAGTGCTCTGCAGCCTACGCCGAGGAGAACATGAACAAGAACCGATTCAAGAACATATTGCCAGGTCAGACAAGAGTGGATTGACTTCTTCAGCTACTTCAGTGTTATTTTATTGATGTCGAGATGAGGTGTCAGAGTTGTGCTGAATCTTTGTCTGATTTGCCCCAGTTTGATCCTTAGTGAGCAGCTGCCCATTTTCATGGGGTCAGTGAAGTCATAACTGTATTCAACTTAAGTCACTTGAGGCTTTCCTCACACGAGCTTGCCATAGTCCGCTGTGCCGTGCTGTGATTGAGATAAAGCACTATAATATCATTAGTCTTTATCAATAACTTATGAGAAGCTATAGGCGAAGATATCACTTCAGTTCCAGAGCATGGTATTTTGGCTGCTATTGAAACAATTTCATTTTTATTTTCAGTCTGCATGGTTGATTTTGATGAAAAGTTGCATGTACTTTCGCGTTATGGGTTCAAACAATAACCCTTCAGGAGTGTTGATTTAAAAACATGAAACTTTAATCAGTTTGATTTTCAGGGTGTTCTTTAATCTTAGCATGTTATGAAATCTCTTGACTTTGAATTCTTCACTTTCTCAGTCATTCGCAACGCTCCATCTGTTTTTCTCAATGTAAGTTGTGAATGAATGAGGCCATGCTTGTATTGGCACAAGTGATAGCTTGATGCTTGAGTCACAGCCTGGTCTGCCTCAGCATTGTGCTTCAACAGTTGTGTGGCTTCCACAGACTTTAAACATTCAGTTATATTACATTTACTTTAAGCCAAAGCTTTTCTTTACGAGTTTCTTCTCTGGATGTAAAACTTTAAAAAAACACACAACATGTTTGCTTCCACGGATGTTAAACATTCAGTTATATGATATTTACTGTAAGCCATAGCATTTCTTTATGAGTTTCTTCTCTGAATGTAAAAGTTAAACAACAAAACATAAATAAGTTTGTATTAAATCACTTGGAATAAAAGCATAAATGACCTCCAAGATAATAATCAATGAGAAATATCATAAGAGGCTTAAGTCTATTGTGCTTGTATTCCTATAGGAGGTTTATATGAACAAGGGTTGTCTGTTGCTTAGGGGTGTCATTGATCAGACATTATTGATACATCTCAGATGTGTCACAATATATGGATTAATAACAAGATTTATTCTTCTGTATGTGTTTTGGTAAAAGTGGCCAATATGGGCCTGCAGTTCAAATCCAGATGTAAACAAGGCTGATCCATTATATGGTTACAGTGGATTTTTCTGACTTCTAAATGTTGATCTGAACAAGTTGTAATCTTTATAATTGTAAACGTTTCTGCGGAAGTAATTGTTTAATATAGTATCAATATTGAGACATTTGTATTGATGCAGTATCTGCAGTAAACATTCACTGATCAATCAACATCTTGACATGCGATGACATCCCTACTGGTGCTTGAAATGAACATTTTGAATGGAGTTATGATTACCTAAAGTTCCTATTAATATTTTCACTTTCCCAGTTTGATACTTACCACTTTGGAATGGTGTGACTTGCTTGCCCTTCACCCTGAGTGCCTCTTTTTTTAGCCAATCGGTGTCGCCCTTTCCTGTACACGCCTGTTGACAACTGTACTGACTACATCAATGCTGTGTTCCTCCCTGTAAGTACCCCTGCCCTGCTGACTAGTCTTGCTGCATCGGGGGGCAGTTAGTGGCTGATGTGGAGGTCTGTGTGTGACAGATAGATAGTAACATTCACATCATTGGTGCAGGTTTTTGTTTGTCATTAACATGCCAGGCCATCGTTCTCATCACTGCCGCAGGTCACGGTGGTCATCACTGCCGCAGGTCACGGTGGTCATCACTGCTGCAGGTCACGGTGGTCATCACAGCTGCACGTCATGGTGGTCATCACTTCATGGTTCTGATCGTTACTGTAGGTTAACATCATCAACATCGCAAGGCCTACATTATCATCACACAGCAAGTTAACATCAACATCGCAAGGCCTACATTATCATCACACAGCAAGTTAACATAAACATCGCAAGGCCAACATTATCATCACACTGCAAGTTAACATCAACATCATAAGGTCATCATTATCATCACACTGCAGGTTAACATTTATATCTTTACAGCAAGTTAACATCAACATCAAAAGGCTATCATTATCATCACACTGCAGGTTAACATCATCACACAGCAAGTTAACATCAACATCATAAGGCCTTCAATATCATCACACTGCAGGTTAACATTTATATCTTTACAGCAAGTTAACATCAACATCATAAGGCTATCATCATCACACTGCAGGTTAACATTTATATCTTTACAGCAAGTTAACATCAACATCATAAGGCCATCATTATCATCACACTGCAGGTTAACATTTATATCTTTACAGCAAGTTAACATCAACATCATAAGGCCATCATTATCATCACACTGCAGGTTAACATTTATATCTTTACAGCAAGTTAACAACATCATAAGGCCATCATTATCATCACACTGCAGGTTAACATTTATATCTTTACAGCAAGTTAACATCATAAGGCCATCATTATCATCACACTGCAGGTTAACATTTATATCTTTACAGCAAGTTAACATCAACATCATAAGGCCATCATTATCATCACACTGTAGGTTAACATTTATATCTTTACAGCAAGTTAACATCAACATCATAAGGCCATCATTATCATCACACTGTAGGTTAATATTCTCATCACTGGTTTAAGTTCACATTTTTTTATCAACGTCAGCATCACATGGTCATTTTCATCACATAACAGGTTAACATTGTTATCTTTACTGCAAGTGAACATGACCATCAATGACCACCTGTAAGCTAGTGTTACATCCTTGAACTGTGACACCTGTAAGTATAATTGAAGCATTGCTTCTATCCTATGGCTGCCATGCATCTAAGCTTTACTTGACAGTTATGGACTTCCTGCTGACAACTAACACTTCCTACATTTCTGCAGAATTTCACGCACAAAGTGCTTGTGAATAACACAACTAACATTCATGTGGACATTGCCGAACTGCTGAATGTCACTTTTAACATCACTTTTCTAAAGCAAATATTTCACCATCTGTAGTCACTGATGACTATGTATATCATACATAAGGGGTATCACCTACTTTTTAAATGAGTCCTACAATTTGAATGTTTTCCCCTCCAGTCTGTTATAACATTCTCAAAACAAGACACTACTTTGTTGATTGTCCCTCTTCAGCTAAAGCAGTGTATGTGTTACCATTCTAACTAGTCAGAGACAGCTGAGCTCTTGTAACCATCCATTCTTCAGTCCTTTCTCAATCTTTGAAACATTTGGACCAGTTGAGTTCATCTTGAAATCATTTATGAAATCTTCCAGCCTTGTCTTAACCCAGTAAGTCTTGTGATCACGTTTACCTCTTGGGACAAGAGGTTTGACTTGAATAGGCGAATAACTAATGTTTAAAATTGTTCCATATTTGTGATGGGTACTTTCGAATGTTAATTGCATCTCGACATTTTTAATCACATTTTGTTATCATGTTGATGAAGCTTTGAATTTTATGCCTTCTGAGTCCTAGTCTACAATTCCTTGTCAAGTATTTTTGTCCATGTGTACTAACATCTATGGACTCTTGTAGGGATGCACACAGAAGGACCGCTTCATCGTCACTCAGATGCCGCTGCCCAACACTGTGGCCGACTTCTGGCGCATGTTGTACGACTATACCTCTGATACCATCATCATGCTCAATGAGTTTGATAGGAACGACAAGGTAGGTAGTCCATACTTACTCAGATAGGATGGCCTGCTTGTCTTACAACCACCAGTACATGTGCTAGGTTATATCTCAGAGGTCAGAGGATTCTTATATGTCAGTGTCACACTCATAGCCCTGTCTGTCGAACCGCCTCCGTGGTGTAGTGGTTAGAGCGTCCGCCCGGAGAGCAGAAGGTCGCGGGTTCGATCCCCGACCGCGTCATACCAAAAGACGTTAAAATATGGTACTTGTTGGTCCCTGCCTGGCGCTCGGCATTAATGGGTACAAACAAGGACTGGTTGTCTCGGAGTCAGTATACTGTGTCTGAGTGGGGTATTCATGCTTCACTGCGGCATGGTATCTCAGTGGGCTAGTGCTATAAAACCAGCTTAAGTCTGGGCTTGTACAAGCAGACGCACATACACATACACACGCATGCACGTCGTCATATGAGCGTAATATTCTCAAGCACGACGTTAAACCCAATTTCACCTCACCTCACCTGATAGCCCTGTCTTGGGCCTATATCACTTTTTCTAACATATTGAAGTGAAACACTGTGGAAGAACTGTAATATTGTTCAAAATGACATTACTCCCAGGCCTATGTCATTTACTTACTTTAGATGTCTGTTTCTGTGTTTTAGTGGCAGTGCCGCTCACGGAGGAATATGGCTATACAGAAGAGTATGGCCCCCTCAACGTGGAGCTGCTGTCATCCTCTGAAGCTGACCCTGACGTCACCATCCGCATCTTCAAACTCAGCCATCTTGTCAAGGTAGTACTATTTTGAAAATGTACACGATCAGTTATTTTGTCCTTCATGCTAATTTCTTCTGATATATCACATTGTCCTTTCTCTATTCTGGCACTGCTCTGTCCGTTTCATGCTGTTCTGTCATTTGTTTTGCCTCACACATGTTGTTCTTCACTCTCATGCTGTAGTGCCAGCAAGTTAGTCTTTGTCATGCTGTTCCAGTTCTGTCATGCTGTTCTGTTGCTGTCATGTTGTTCCATTACTGTCATGTTATTCCAGTTCTGTCATGCTGTTCCATTACTGTCATGCTGTTCTGTTACTGTTATGCCATGTTATTCCAGTACTGTCATGTTGTTCTGTCACTGTCATGCAGTTCCATTACTGTCATGCTGTTCTATCACTGTCATGCTGTTCTGGCTGTCATGCTGTACCATGTTATGTTGTTGTCCCCCGCCGCAGCGTGGAACGGGGGACTTTGTATTCAGCAGCGTTCCATACGTCCCGATTCTTGTTATCGCGATATCTAATGAACTGTTGTACCCAATGTCTTCAAATTTGGTGTCAGCCTACATTTGGGGATTACGCAGACACCAGTCGATTTGCGTGACCTTGACCTTATTTTCAAGGTCACCACAACACTTTGACCACTTTTCCAACTCTTGTTCACGCGATATCTCATGAACTGGTGTACCCAATGTCTTCAAATTTGGTGACAGCCTACATTAGGGGATTACGCAGACACCAGTCGATTTGGGTAACCTTGACTTATTTTCAAGGTCACCACGACACTGACCACTTTTCAAACTGTTAACATGATATCTCATGGACTGTTGTACCCAATGTCTTCAAATTTAGTTACAGCCTACATTGGGGGATTACGCAGACACCAGTTTATTTGTGTGACCTTGACCTTATCTTCAAGGTCACCACGACACTTTTCACACTTTTAACTCTTGTTAACGCGATATCTCATGAAATGTTGTACCCAATGTCTTCAAATTTGGTGACAGCATACATTGGAGTATTACACAGACACCAGTCTATTTGGGTGACCTTGACCTTATCTTCAAGGTCACCACGATACTTTGACCGCTTTTTAAAGCGATGTCTCATAAAACATTGCACCCAATGTTTCAAGTATGTTGACAGCCTACATTGGGTGATTACCAGTCATTTCAGGCATCTTGTATGTGACCCAAAAATAAAAAGTAGTAAATATAGATATTCCATTCTTGTGCGGCGGGGGACACTGCCATATCAGTGGCAAACACTTGTTCTGTCACTGTCATGCTGTTCTGTCACTGTCATGCAGTTCCATTCCTGTAATGCTGTTCTCTCACTGTCATGCTGTTCTGTCACTGTCTTGCTGTTCTGTCACTGTCTTGCTGTACCATTACTGTCATGCTGTTCTATCACTGCCATGCAGTTCCATTACTGTCATGCTGTTCTGGCTGTCATGTTGTTCCATTACTGTCATGCTGTTCTGTCACTGTCATGCTGTACCATTACTGTCATGCTGTTCTATCACTGTCATGCTGTTCTGTCACTGTCATGCTGTTCTGTCACTTTCATGTTGTTCCATTACTGTCATGCTGTTCTGTCACTGTCATGCAGTTCCATTACTGTCATGCTGTTCTATCACTGCCATGCAGTTCCATTACTGTTATGCTGTTCTATCACTGTCATGCTGTTCTGTCACTGTCATGCTGTTCTATCACTTTCATGTTGTTTCATTACTTTCATGCTGTTCTATCACTGTCATGCAGTTCCATTACTGTCATGCTGTTCTGTCACTGTCATGCTGTACCATTACTGTCATGCTGTTCTATCACTGTCATGCTGTTCTGTCACTGTCATGCTGTTCTATCACTTTCATGTTGTTTCATTACTTTCATGCTGTTCTATCACTGTCATGCAGTTCCATTACTGTCATGCTGTTCTATCACTGCCATGCAGTTCCATTAATGTCATGCTGTTCTGTCACTGTCATGCAGTTCCATTACTGTAATGCTGTTCTGGCTGTCATGTTGTTCCATTACTGTCATGCTGTTCTGTCACTGTCATGCTGTACCATTACTGTCATGCTGTTCTATCACTGTCATGCTGTTCTCTCACTGTCATGCTGTTCTGTCACTGTCATGTTGTTCCATTACTGTCATGCTGTTCTGGCTGTCATGTTGTTCCATTACTGTCATGCTGTTCTGTCACTGTCATACTGTACCATTACTGTCATGCTGTTCTATCACTGTCATGCTGTTCCATTACTGTCATGCTGTTCTGTCACTTTCATGTTGTTCCATTACTGTCATGCTGTTCTGTCACTGTCATGCTGTACCATTACTGTCATGCTGTTCTATCACTGTCATGCAGTTCCATTACTATCATGCTGCTCTGGCTGTGATGTTGTTCCATTACTGTCATGCTGTTCTGTCACTGTCATGCTGTACCATTACTGTCATGCTATTCTATCACTGCCATGCAGTTCCATTACTGTCATGCCGTTCTATTACTGTCATGCAGTTCCATTACTATCATGCTGCTCTGGCTGTCATGCCATTTCATATCTGTAAGTCTATGCTGTATTTGTCATGCTATTCTGTGACTGTCATGTTGTTCTGTTCTGCTGCAGGGTGAGGAGAGAGCAGTGAAACAGTTCATGTTCAAGTCATGGCCAGACTACCAGACAGTGCCCAACTCACGGACAGCTCTACTAAGGCTGCACAAACTCACCACAGACTGGCTCAAGCAGAACGGCAAAGGCCCAGTCACAATACACTGCATGTGAGTAATCACCTTCACATCTTAAGGCCTATCGCTATCACTGTGCAGAGTTGTCTCCCTTGAGCATGTCAGAAACCCATGATCATTGGTTCAAATCCTGGTACGCCCTGGTATTGTTTCCAGGTCAGCACCCTGCCTTTCTTTGTGGGTTTCCCCCACGTAGTATACATCTTAGACCTCCCATCTGATGCTGACATGCATCAGATGACTGTAATACTCTTCAGAGCATGGTTGAACCAAACATACTCACTCGTGAAGATCATAGCTTTTTCTCAACATTTTCTTCAACTTCCTATTTGTCAAGGAAAAATGTTTTAATCTATCTACTTCAAAGATTAGATATTCGGCAGCAATATGTTTTTCCATAATTTGACAAATTTGTTAGTTTGATGTTATTGTTCAGGATACACTAACAGATTGACAGCTTGTCCCGGATTGGTTGTATTGATGGATAGTGTGACAGGTTGTCCCCCTGATTGGTTGTCTTGATGGATAGTGTGGCAGCTTGTCCCTGATTGGTTGTCTTGATGGATAGTGTGACAGCTTGTCCCTGATCGGTTGTATTGATGGATAGTGTGGCAGCTTGTCCCTGATTGGTTGTATTGATGGATAGTGTGACAACTTGTCCCTGATTGGTTGTATTGATGGATAGTGTGACAGCTTGTCCCTGATTGGTTGTATTGGTGGATAGTGTAGCAGCTTGTCCCTGATTGGTTGTATTGATGGATAGTGTGACAGCTTGTCCCTGATTGGTTGTCTTGATGGATAGTGTGACAGGTTGTCCCCCTGATTGGTTGTCTTGATGGATAGTGTGGCAGCTTGTCCCTGATTGGTTGTCTTGATGGATAGTGTGACGGCTTGTCCCTGATCGGTTGTATTGATGGATAGTGTGGCAGCTTGTCCCTGATTGGTTGTATTGATGGATAGTGTGACAACTTGTCCCTGATTGGTTGTATTGATGGATAGTGTGACAGCTTGTCCCTGATTGGTTGTATTGATGGATAGTGTGGCAGCTTGTCCCTGATTGGTTGTATTGATGGATAGTGTGACAGCTTGTCCCTGATTGGTTGTCTTGATGGATAGTGTGACAGCTTTTTCCTGATTTGTTGTCTTGATGCATAGTGTGACAGCTTGTCCCTGATTGGTTTGTATCGATGAATAGTGTGACAGCTTGTCCCTGATTGGTTGTATTGATGAATAGTGTGATGGCTTGTCCCTGATTGGTTGTATTGATGAATAGTGTGACAACTTGTCCCTGATTGGTTGTATTGATGAATAGTGTGGCAGCCTGTCCCTGATTGGTTGTATTGATGGATCGTTAGACAGCTTGTCCCTGATTGGTTGTATTGATGGATAGTGTGACGGCTTGTCCCTGATCGGTTGTATTGATGGATAGTGTGGCAGCTTGTCCCTGATTGGTTGTATTGATGGATAGTGTGACAACTTGTCCCTGATTGGTTGTATTGATGGATAGTGTGACAGCTTGTCCCTGATTGGTTGTATTGGTGGATAGTGTGGCAGCTTATCCCTGATTGGTTGTATTGATGGATAGTGTGACAGCTTGTCCCTGATTGGTTGTCTTGATGGATAGTGTGACAGCTTTTTCCTGATTTGTTGTCTTGATGCATAGTGTGACAGCTTGTCCCTGATTGGTTTGTATCGATGAATAGTGTGACAGCTTGTCCCTGATTGGTTGTATTGATGAATAGTGTGACGGCTTGTCCCTGATTGGTTGTATTGATGAATAGTGTGACAACTTGTCCCTGATTGGTTGTATTGATGAATAGTGTGGCAGCCTGTCCCTGATTGGTTGTATTGATGGATCGTTAGACAGCTTGTCCCTGATTGGTTGTATTGATGGATAGTGTGACAGCTTGTCCCTGATTGGTTGTATTGATGGATAGTGTGACAGCTTGTCCCTGATTGGTTGTATTGATGAATAGTGTGACAGCTTGTCCTTCATTGGTTGTATTGGTGGATAGTGTGTTACATCACATCATACTCATCATTAAGTTGGGATAAAATTAATCTGTCGTAATATAGTTCACATAATGCCTATAACAAAACTAAGTTCCCCCTTTCTCCCAAGAAGATTATGCTATTAAGTTAGATGACAGCTGCTTATTGTAGGAGCTTAATTGTTCACCGTGAAGAAACAAGCAGACAATTTGTTATTGACTGTCCAGGAATGGCGCCAGCAAGAGCGGGGTGTTTGCTGCCGTAAGTTTGGTGCTGGAGAGACTGAGCCTGGACCAGGAGTTGGATGTGTACCAGACCGTCAAACAGATCCGCATCAACAGACCACAGTTCATTGAGAACTATGTAAGTTGGCAGTCAGAGGCTGCATTATCACTGTGATGAGGAACAATAGCTGAGTAATATGAAGTATATCTGGGTCAAACACTAGCCTCTTTTGCATTTAGAACCATGTCATATTGATTATGAACTGGCCAGCATCTCAACTATCAACACAGAAGACTCACATGCATAGAGTCTGGATGCACGTTCCAGTCATGGCTGTAACATTTCTGAAAATCACTCTTTGTCAATCATGTCATAAGGTAAATAATTGATAAAAAGAAAATCTATTAATCAATTGGAGATAAGTGTTTAAAACACACACTTGAAATATGGGTTCTTTTCCACACCATTTGGTACCATGTCCGAATTGTCTTCTTAGTGTCATAGGGAACTACTTTGGGTTGGGAATCATTGCCATGACACAATAATTTGACATTATACAATTATTGACTTCTAGTGAGGCGAAACCAGGTGAATATCACATGTCCAAGGTCGATAAATCATTGGATCAACCTAACTGAAGTCAATAATTGTTTTATTATATGACAAAAGTACTGAATACCTGTTCTTCATGGTGTCGTGTCATCTACCATTACGAATCTACATCAAAATGTCACTTTATACAATAAACAAGAAGTTGTTACCCATAAAGTCTTAAGCTAGCCCATGCTTGTCGTAAGAGGCGACTTATGGGATCGGGTGGTCAGGCTCGCTGACTTGGTTGACACATGTCATCAGTTCCCAATTGCACAGATCGATGCTTATGCTGTTGATCACTGGATTGTCTGGCTCAGACTCGATTATTTACAGACGTCCGCCATATAGCTAGAATATTGCTGAGTGCGGCGTAAAACTAAACTGACTCACTCACTCACAACAGGAATGGGTATGTATTCATATTGTTATGCTGAAGCATTTACAAAGAACATTTCACTCAGTGGCATCGGTTCTTTTACAGGAACAATTCCAGTTCTGCTACCAACTCATCATGGAATACCTTGACAGCCAAGAGTAGCCATAGCAACCGTTGATCAATCATAGCAACATTCCACGGTTACAATAACCACCATCCCAGCATTCCATAGCTCAAAGCAAATGCTTGTGATGTTTTAGTATCTCAAATTGTCATTTTCAATTTTACAAACCATGAAAGCTTTAGTCAGTGTTATGTAATGGAGATATTACTTTTGCTCAGATTTATATATATGTTGTACACCATCAGGATATTTTAACAAGTTGTTTATTGATTGTATTTTCTGATATGAACTTAAGAGTTAAGATATTTTTAATTGTGTTGACTTTTAAAGATTGTTGAATTCATTTGCATCTTCTGAAAGGTTGTTATATAAGTTACCTATGTCAAATTTGTTTATTTGCCAATGGTTAATTTGCAGATGTTAGGAAAGTAGTATGTTCAGAGACAACAGGTAGTATTTTTCCCAGATTATGCATTCACTGCTTATGTGATGTGTCATACAAACGTTTATTAACTGATAGAAGTATTACATGTATGTCTGGAGCTGCCGTCAACAGGGGCTATACTGTACTCTGTTGTGAGTGCATACTAAGGTTGTGATGCAGTGTGACATACTGTGAAACCTTGTGAATGTGGAACCTGTTATAGTGGACACTAGGAGTCTGAACCTTGTGATTCTGTATTGTCTGTGTCCTCGGATACAGTCCTACTGATGGTATCCTCGGATACAGTCCTACTGATGGTGTCCTCGGATACAGTCCTACTGATGGTGTCCTCGGATACAGTCCTACTGATGGTGTCCTGGGATACAGTCCTACTGATGGTGTCCTCGGATACAGCCCTACTGATGGTGTCCTCGGATACAGTCCTACTGATGGTGTCCTCGGATACAGTCCTACTGATGGTGTCCTCGGATACAGTCCTACTGATGGCGTCCTCGGATACAGTCCTACTGATGGTGTCCTCGGATACAGTCCTACTGATGGTGTCCTCGGATACAGTCCTACTGATGGTGTCCTCGGATTCAGTCCTACTGATGGTGTCCTGGGATACAGTCCTACTGATGGTGTCCTCGGATACAGTCCTACTGATGGTGTCCTCGGATACAGTCCTACTGATGGTGTCCTCGGATACAGTCCTACTGATGGTGTCCTGGGATACAGTCCTACTGATGGTGTCCTGGGATACAGTCCTACTGATGGTGTCCTGGGATACAGTCCTACTGATGGTGTCCTGGGATACAGTCCTACTGATGGTGTCCTGGGATACAGTCCTACTGATGGTTCCTCGGATACAGTCCTACTGATGGTGTCCTCGGATTCAGTCCTACTGATGGTGTCCTCGGATACAGTCCTACTGATGGCGTCGTCGGATACAGTCCTACTGATGGTGTCCTCGGATACAGTCCTACTGATGGTGTCCTCGGATACAGTCCTACTGATGGTGTCCTCGGATACAGTCCTACTGATGGTGTCCTGGGATACAGTCCTACTGATGGTGTCCTCGGATACAGTCCTACTGATGGCGTCCTCGGATACAGTCCTACTGATGGTGTCCTTGGATACAGTCCTACTGATGGTGTCCTCGGATACAGTCCTACTGATGGTGTCCTCGGATACAGTCCTACTGATGGTGTCCTCGGATACAGTCCTACTGATGGTGTCCTCGGATTCAGTCCTACTGATGGTGTCCTGGGATACAGTCCTACTGATGGTGTCCTCGGATACAGTCCTACTGATGGTGTCCTGGGATACAGTCCTACTGATGGTGTCCTCGGATACAGTCCTACTGATGGTGTCCTCGGATACAGTCCTACTGATGGTGTCCTCGGATACAGTCCTACTGATGGTGTCCTCGGATACAGTCCTACTGATGGTGTCCTGGGATACAGTCCTACTGATGGTGTCCTGGGATACAGTCCTACTGATGGTTCCTCGGATACAGTCCTACTGATGGTGTCCTCGGATTCAGTCCTACTGATGGTGTCCTCGGATACAGTCCTACTGATGGTGTCCTCGGATACAGTCCTACTGATGGTGTCCTCGGATACAGTCCTACTGATGGTGTCCTCGGATACAGTCCTACTGATGGTGTCCTCGGATACAGTCCTACTGATGGCGTCCTCGGATACAGTCCTACTGATGGCGTCCTCGGATACAGTCCTACTGATGGCGTCCTCGGATACAGTCCTACTGATGGCGTCCTCGGATACAGTCCTACTGATCGTGTCCTCGGATACAGTCCTACTGATGGTGCCCAGACATACAGTCCTACTGATGGTGCCCAGACATACAGTCCTACTGATGGTGCCCAGACATACAGTCCTACTGATGGTGCCCAGACATACAGTCCTACTGATGGTGCCCAGACATACAGTCCTACTGATGGTGCCCAGGGATATAGGTGATGGTGGATAAACTCAGTGTTGGCATCCCTATGCAATGGAATTGTCATCAATACGTCATCCAACAGCCTGTTCATACATCCATCAACTCATATGCATCCATTATAGTCATATGTACATACACAGCTCATGGTATCATATCCAGTTTTCAAATATTGGTAATCAAAACGTAACATTAGATCAGCAGAGTGTATTATCTCACTATTTACGGTATATTAGAAGTTGTCTGCATCAACTGCTCGAGGTTGCATGAGCGTGTGTCTGAGAAATTCACTTCACCAGCACCAAATTGGTCATTGAGTTAAGTTCATAATATCTTTGTATGCAAAAAGCATTTACTGTATATTACCATTGCAAAAGGGTATTCACAAATGTATCAGAGGGATATATTCCTGCTTTAGACGCTAATTTATTTTTGCACTAGCGACAGCCAAGTATTGATTGCTGAATATAATGCATGAAATTAACCATTGCCATTCATTATGTCAGAAATAACAAATAATGATTCAATGAGGCTATTTTTCCTAAGAGGTTTTACTTATCTTATGATTTACTAAACCATTTTGCTCCAGTGGTTCGAAGTTAATTTTTGAATGATCATTTTGTGCCATTCTGTGCTACTCTTACACTATGGGCTTCCTGTGGGGGTTGTCTGTGTTATTTCCTGTATACTGTGATGAGTGTTTGGATACAGGACCTGTATCATTCTTCATGCCATTGCTGTCACATTTTCGTCTTTCATTAGTACAAGTGCATCGTCAGTCCTTCTCCGGTGGGTAAACATGGCACTCTTCTATCACCTGAATACATTTCTGGTGTCCCCTGCCGTGATATTGCTGGAATATTGCTAAAAGCGGTGTTAAACCATACTCACTCACTCACTATCACCTAAATACAGCTGCTATGCATAGTAGTGGAGTGTGTCTCCTTAAAGCATGGTATCACAGGCCACAGAACTCACATGAGCTCAACTCGTTTGATACTTTGTGCAAACCATATCGCCTGATACAGTGACTCTAAGGCCATGGCTCATGCTGCCATCAGATATACAGTGAGACCCCGGATATCCGGACACATTCGTTTTTGCGTAAATCTTCCGGATAACAGAATATCCGGATATCTGGATTTCTGTCTTCCAGGCTAAGGTGTTGAATATACACTTCTATCACTTCCAAAACAGCATGATCGTTTTGATTTGCCAATTACAATTCACTCTGTGCCAGATAGGCCTACCAATCACCACCAATACCCTGCTGATCGGTCATTAATCCGGATTAGCAGACCTTGTCTCGTGTCAAAACACGTGGGACACTCGCAGTTCACTTCACACGGTCAGCGGAAAATCAAAGCTACGTGAGTCAATTTTGTGTTGATTTAGCCGGTTGGTTTGTAAAATTTACTGTCCAGGAACGGAAACTGCATATCCATTATAGACAGTCACTTTTATAATGTAAGAGATTGGTTATTTATGAAAATTGACCGGAAGGCGAGGTTTCCGGATATTTTTGGTCTGGGTATCTGGGGTCTATCTGTATATAATTTTGATCATTTTCTGGTCCGAGGACTTGCTGGTGTCCTGCTTGCTGGAACTAGCCTGTGGTTACATTGATTGACTACAGGTAGGGACCCTGCCAAGATATTGCTGGAATATTGCTAAAAGCGGCGTAAAACCATACTCACTTGTCACTCACTCACAGGCAGTGACCACACAAAGTGACCTGATGTATTACATGTGATAGGGAATGCAGTGTACAAACCAGGAAGTCGTCACGATGGTACAGCTGCAGTCATTGTGTGAACAAATATACCACTGTGTATTTGGTTTCTTATTGTCCCGTTCCTACCAACCCCAACATTGAGATGAGCGAGCACTCTGCACACTAGTTGTATCTAATACACTAGCTTAGTTAGGACAAATGCATTGATCAAGAGGACAATACATCATTGGGTGGTGTGTTACATTGTCCAGAACCAATGCAATCTGCTGAGTAGCTTTTAACCCCTGCTGGACCCCTTCTAGACCCAGTTTGTTGGTAGCACACTATTGTGAGTGGGAACCTACGTGTTGTGAGGTTGTGATTTACTAGATTGTTTCTGTCCAAGGTTGTGAATCCCGTGCAATGCTGACGTTACATAAATAGAAGTGGATTATGTCTGAAGTTGTGATTCTGTTGCTGGGTTTAGTCTGCCTCAGTGAAGGTTTTGATTTGATAAGTTACGCTTTGTCACAGTCTGAAAGAACAAGATGCTGTTTCTTCATACATCTCTGTAATAGTAATAATCTGATTATTGTTCTAGATTTTTAAAAATACATTGTATAATTGAAATAATTATTGAAATGTTTAATACTTATGAGGTACATGTTTGGTGTATTATGTGATACTTTGCTCTTTTCTCTGAACAAATTCGAACTATACTGAAGCGTTGTCCTGCTTGATTACAATCCATTGCTCACAACAAAGAGCCAGAGCAATTAAGATTTGAATAAAACTCATTACGTAATTCCTTTCTCTGAAAGTCCACAGCATGTCAGAAAAAATTAAACATTCTGTCCCATTAGAATGAGGACATTGAATTCTTGTAATGTGTACTTGATTGATAACCTAATTAGAAACGGAATAGAAGGTCTGCACAGATACAAGTAAAACTTTGTCTCCGTGTTTGTCATTTAACTGGAGGTGTCTGATCACCATGCACAGATCTGATCTGTCGCTTTGGAAATGATCCATTTTCATGTTTGATGTACTAACCTTACGTTTTCCATTGTATTGAAAACTTGGAGTGATGTGTCCGCCAATCTGACCCAGGTTCTAGTGACTGTTTGACATTTTGTCTAGTGCCGTTGATGGGCTTAGTGAACATGTGTATATATATATTTTAGTGTGTAGCTGAAGCCAGTCATAGGTAGATCCAAATGTGCTAACACCTTTACATTGTACATTTATGTATGCGAACGTTTGCATACACCTTTTCTGTGCTACAAAACTTTCCATACTTCCAAGATGTCTGTCAATTATGTTGACATCTATTCTGAAATCAGACTTATTTTTGACATGTTTCTTTTTTAAAAATATAGTCTGTACTTTTTTATCATTTAGCATTGTTCAATATATTTGCTTTTAGCAGCACCAAAGAAATATTGCTTTTTTTCTTTCGGACAAGTTCTCATTAAGTTTTCATTTTGACAGGCAGACATGTTCATTATTCATTCATTACTGCTTCTTACTAGCGATCATAGATATGCTTTGATGCTCTTAACTTATTTTCCCATAAACTCCAATTTTCCGCTGTGTAAATAATTTCCTAGAATAGTCGCTTACTGAGCTTAAAAACATGTACATTATTTGTTAATCATGTTTACAATTTGA